ACCTTTTTATAGTCTTATTGGCCATTTGTATATCTTCTTTGGATTAATGTCTATTCAAGTCTTCTGCCCATTTTTTAATTGAGTTGGTTTTTTTGTTCTTGAGTTATACGACTTGTATATATACTGGATGTTAAACCCTATCAGATATATGATTTGCAAATATTTTCTCCCATTCTGTAGGTTAGCTTTTCACTTTCATAGTAATTTCTTTGCAAAAAGGTTTTAAATTTTGATGAAGTCCAGTTCGTCAATTTTTTCTTTTGCTGGTGCTGTTGGTATTTTTTTTTTTTAGATTTATTTATTTATTATTTGAGAGAGAGAATGAGCAGGAGGGGCAGGGGAGAGGGAGAGAGAATCTCAAGCAGACTCTGAGCTAGGTGCAGAGCCCAACATGGGGCTTGATCCCACAGCCCTGAGATCACCACTTGAGCTGAAACCAAGAATCAGGTGCTTAACTGACTGCACCACCTAGGCGACCCTGGTGCTATTGGTTTTTTATATCTAAGAATCCTTTGCCAAATTCAAGGTCATGAAGACTTACCCTTTGCTGTCTCCTAAGAGTTTTATGGTCTTAACTCTTATATTGTTAAGTCTTTGATCCAGTTTGAGTCAATGTTTTCATATGATATGAATAAGATATTCAACCTCATTGTTTTGCATGTGGAAATCGAGTTGTTTCTGCACCATCTGTTGAAGAGACTGTTCTTTCCCCAGTGAGTAGACTTAACGCTCTTGTCAAAAATCAGTTGGCCATATATAATGGGTTTATTTCTGGGTTCTTAATTCTGTTCTATTGGCCTATATGTCTATTCTTGTGACAGTACCATCCTGTTTTGATTACTATAACTTTGTGGAAATTTTTGAAATCAGGAAGTGTGAGTTTTCCACTTTTATTCTCTCTCAAGATTGTTTTGGCTAGTCCGGCACCTTGAATTTGGGAATTGGCTTTACCATTTCTGAAAAAGCCCTGTCATGTTTTAGTAATCAGCTACTAAAGGTTGTAATTTGAAATGTCTCTGTGTATCTGTGGCCAGAATTTGTTTCTGGTCACCTAAGAATTTTCTGCTCATTGTCTGCTTAGAGTCTATATAGAAAAGAAGTCATAAGAACTGTAATTTGGAATACAATTATTTCCTAAGTTTCTTCACTTACTTCCCCAGTAGAAAAAAAATAGAAACTATTTGTAGCTTCATGAGTAATTTATCTTAGGATTAGTTTAGGGTCAGTTTCATTGAAGTAAAGCTAAAATGCATGTGAGATGGAGCTTGCTGCCAGTGTGGTGGTTATTTCAGTATTTTATTTACTTTAAATATTCATTGTTATATGAAGTGTTTGGGTGCAAAGCTAGCTTAAGTAAAGGGAAAAGTGTATCATCAGGAGTTCTGATCAAAATGGCAAACTGAACCAAGATATAAAGTCCTCCCTTGTGCTTTGAACACAGAAATGCTGAGAAAAACAAGAGTAACAGCAACAAAAATAACCCAGCTCAAATGAATGAAAGGGAAATCCCCAGTGCTGGAAATGAAAAGGTGCTCAAAGCCAGAATAGGGAATGATAGCTGGAAACAGTGAGGTCCACAAGCCTACTGGGTAGACTTTTATGGACTAGGGAGTGAAGCCTTAGACCGGTGTGGGATGGCAGCTTGGCTGGAGTGGGGACTCTTGCATAAAGCCCTAGTGTTGAAAAGGTTGTGAAACAGGGATTAGAAAAATCCCATTCACTATCTAGGGAAAGTGGCAAGAAACTGTACTGTATGAGTTCCTACAAGATAATAATTAGAAGAAAAGGAATAATCAAGAATTGTTTACCCAAGCTTATGCCATGTGTAAGTATGAGGAGTGAATTTACACTGCCTCCAGCGAGGCAGGAACTATTTTTCCAGGTTAAGAAATTAACATTGAAATTGGATCTGGTATTTGGGCACCTGGCCTGCTCAGGGGTAAAGTGTGCAACTCTTGATCTCAGGGTCATGAGTTCAAGCCCCACGTTGGGTATAAGAGCTTACTTAAAAAAAAAAAAAAAAAAAAAAAGATTGGTCTGCGTATGATTTCACTCATATGTGGAATTTAAGAAGCAAAACAAATGAACATGGGAAACATAAAAAGAGAGCAACAAACCAAGAAACAGACTCTTAACGATAGAGAACAAACTGAAGGTTGATGAGGGAAGTGGGCGGGGGATGGGTTTAATAGGTGATAGGGATTAAGGCAGGCACTTGTGATGACTACCTGGTGTTATATATGAATCACTAACTTCTAAACCTGAAACTAATATTACAATGCATGTTAACTAACTGGAATTTAAATAAAAATGTGGAAAAAGTTGGTCTGGTATCAAATTAGATAAAGAAACTTAAGTGCAGCTATATGTCATTATTAATAAAACAATAGGGAAAACTAAAGACTGCATAAAAATTTTCAAAATAAAGGGACTGGGGAGCAAAGAGGAGATAGGTTAAATATTGTTGATATTCAGTGGTTTTTCTTACAAAAATGGCAACTTCATATGATTAAACTAATAACAACCAAAAGAGAATAGTAGAGTAATTTCAATATCAGACTTTTGAAGCAAGAGCAGTATTAAGAATAGAGATTCAAGAACAATGAAAAAGGTAAAATGATAATGATCTTGATTGTGCTTACTAATATAAACTCCAATTATTTTTAGTAAAAACTGTATTACAAGGAGAAATTGGCAAAACTTTGATGATAGAGGTACTTAAAATTACACTATCAGAAGTTATTAGACAAAAATACAGTGGAGGGCGCCTGGGTGGCTCAGTTGGTTAAGCGACTGCCTTCGGCTCAGGTCATGATCCTGGAGTCCCTGGATCGAGTCTCGCATCAGGTTCCCTGCTCAGCGGGGAGTCTGCTTCTCCCTCTGACCCTCCCCCCTCTCATGTGCTCTCTCTCTCTCTCTCTCTCAAATAAATAAATAAAATCTTTCAAACAAACAAACAAAAATACAGTGGAGAAGATTTTAACAACAAAATAGACATAGCACTCCGTTCAACAGTGTGATATGTATTCTATTACATACCAAATCATTTCATAAATTTACTAGATGATAGTCCACAAAAGAAATCTCAGCAAATAGCAAATAACTGATCTCATACAGAGGTATCTAATACAGAGCTACTTTCTGGTAGCAGTGTAATAAATTTATAAATCAACAAAAGCATAATTTGAAAAGTCCATATGTTTGGAAACTGAAAAGAATACTTCTGAATGATTCATTTGGAAAGAAATCACAACAGAGGAAACTTGTTTCCAGCAGTATGGCAGACTGGATCCTCTTGCAAACAATTAAGGAACTTGTATAAAATGTACAGTACATATTTTAGTTACAGTAGTGTTCTAGGAAGAAATAAGGAATTAGAGGACAACCATCAAAGGAAAGCAGAAATTCAAAGAGGTAAGACTTGGGGCGCCTGGGTGGCTCACTTGGTTAACCATCTGCTTTCGGCTCAGGTCATGGTCCCAGGGTCCTGGGATCAAGCCCCACATCGGGCTCCCTGCTCAGAGGAGAGCCTGCTTCTCCCTCTCCCTCTGCTGCTCCCCCTGCTTGTGTGCGCTCTCTCTCTCTCTCTCTCTCTCTCGGTCAAATAAATAAATAAAAAAAATCTTAAAAAAGAAAAAGAGGTAAGACTTGAGGATATTTCCTGAACCCAGTGTTCATGAACTTGTGTTTTCGTGGGTTGGCAGAGTACAGGAGATAAAATCAAGGCCCAGCATCCTGCCTAAGATTGGGACTCTAATAAGAGGTGTTCTTGTATAAATCTAGAACATACAAAGGGTTTCACACTCAAAGTAAGAGAGAACTAGAAATAAGCCCTAGCATAGAGTTAGGATGAATCATTAGTGGGTCGTGGAATCAAATATGTGGTTACCATCAGCAGCACTGTTTATTGTTGTTTTTATTTTTGTTTGTTTTTAAATATCAAATGTAATGCTTCAGGTAACTTTTTGTTTCATTGTTAATGAGTTAGTGTGTATTTGTATTTGAATGTGTATATGAGTACAAAACATAATACTGAGTGGCGAAAACTAGTTGCAGATTGATAGGTAAGTATAATTGAGTTTATGTTATAAAATAATCCAATATGCTGTTTTGGAAAGATAAATACCAACTGTCGTAAACCAGCTTCTGAAGACAGAATAGAATGGGATTAGGACAGTGTTCCAAGGAATGATGCAAGATCCCCCCCTTTGTGTGTGTGTGTGTGTGTGTGCGTGCGCACGTGTGCGACACACCTGCAAACATTTACCTTAAAAAAAAAAAACCTAAGTGAATATGACAGAATGTTAACATGTAGGTGATAGGCACTTGGATATATATTGGCTATACAATTTCCTGTACTTTTGTGTTATTTGTACTATATGATTTTTGAAAAAGCTGTATCATGCACTAAGCAGGTAACTATTATAGTTTTATTATGGGGAGAGTCTTTAGGGGGTGAATGATGTCAGAATGAAATTTTTTTTTCAGAATGAAATTTTTATTTAAGTGTTCTTTAGAAGAGCACCCCTGGGTGGTGCAGTCGGTTGAGCTTCCAACTCTTGGTTTAGGTTTAGGTCACGATCTCAGGATCATGAGATTGAGCCTTGCGTCAGGCTCAGCAAGGAGTCTGCTGGAGTTTCTCTCTCTCCCTCTCCCTCTCCCCCTCCCTCTGCTCTCTCTCTCTCAAGTGACACCTTTAATTAGATGAAAGCTATGTAGTTGCTATGTAATTAAGTACATAGAAAGGGAAAATACATGAAGTATGATGTAGCCAAAAATGCTTGTTAAATTAGAAGCCCTGATGAATAAAGGAAAAAGCTCTCTCTCTTGAGTGGTGCATTCAGGGAAAGCAAACTATGACCCACCAAATAATCAAAGTTTAAACATTATATTATTAAAATTGTAATTTGTTTCTTAACCATGAGGCAAAAAACTAAAAATATATAATGTATATATTATTTTGTCATTCACATTTTTGTTTGTTTGTTTGTTTTACTTAGCTGGTCACCTGACATTTGAATGCCGTAATTTTCTCCGAGTGGACCCCAAAAGGGATATAGTTTTGGATGTGAGCAGCACAAGCAGTGAAGAGAGTGATGAAGAGAATGAAGAACTGAATAAATTGCAGGCATTACAAGAAAAAAGTAAGTAATGTTTTTTCTTTCCCTCCATCCTTTAAAAATGTTTCTAAACATTCTGCTTATGATTATGTCATGTTTATTGTTCTATTGTACTTATCATTTAGATAGCTTGTGTATTTTATGTAAGAGGTACTGCATAGGTAAGGAAATAGGCTTTGAATTTCTAGGTACTTTGCCTCAGATCAAACAGCTAATCAGTGTTAGAACCAGGAGGCAAGTCTATTTCTGATTCCACAATGCAGGTTTTGTTGTTGCTGTTTTTCCATCACACTAAGATGTGTCACATGGTACAAAGAGTCTGATTTAAGACTTGGTTTGTAGACCTGTTTGGCCATTTTGTAGCATGTGACTTTCAGCAAGTCATTTAACCACTGTGAGCCTTAATTTCTTTGTGGGATATTGCAAAGAATAGGTTTGTCAAGTTACACTCATTCACATCAGAGATGCTAACCAGTAGCCAGGTTTACTAGTAATTTCAAGTATATACATGATCATGAGGCATAGGGAAAGCTGCAAGAGTTCTAGGACCACCAGTATAGCTCCCCACATATTTTCTTTCTACTTCACAATCCACTCTGGCCAAGATTAACATGAGGTTTCTTCATTACTTACCCAAAAGAAAGTCATTTAATCATGAAATATCTCAATTTTAAATCCGTATAGTTACATTTTCCAGGGAGCCATGTCTCATACATCCATAGATCCCAGGATTATGTACCATGAACAATCTTAGACAAACCAGCTACATCCTATAAGCAGTCTATAAATAAGGATTCTCTTGCCAACAACTTGATCATGGATCTTTAGCTTTCAGAACTGTGAGAAAATAAATTTCTCTTAATTAAATACACTTTCCTAGCATGCCGCCCCCCCCCCCCCCTCCCCGCCAATTCTCTAGTTAGCAAATACCACTCATTTGTTTCCAGGAGGTCTGTCATTAGCATGTTTACAGAGAGATTTAACTAAGTTACCTTTTTTCTCTCTTGGGGGCATCCTCCTCTCTCCTCAAAGAAAGAGAAGATTGCATACCTATTGTTTAACTATTTCTTTCCCATCATGTGTATAAAATAGCCTATCCTTGCAATGGGGCTTTTAGGGATAAAATGTAATGCTGTATATGAAAATACTTTGTAAACTTCAAAATGCCATATGGTCGATGTCACACAGAATAAAAATGTAACTTGTTTGAGTATAGGTTTAGGCATGGAATGAGAGAGATACAAAAAAGTTTAAATCTTATTTTAGCTCATCAGAGAATAAACCAAATACACTTTAAAACTTTTTAAGCTTTCCATATTACATCTAGTGAAGGTAAATGAAGTCAAATGCCATCGTAATAGGACAGGCTGAGAAGGCAAGAGGAAGAGAGTCCTAAAAAGGACAAACAAGACTTACATTACATATGAGTATATACAGCTTCAGGTAAAGATAGCTGCTTGGGTGTACGTACTTGATTTTATTAGCTACTGAAACACCACTGAAATGATAGTGGAAGAATTTTTTTTAAAAAAACATAAACCCACAAAGACAAAGAAAATGAGATAGGAAACAATAGTAACAAACTTAAAAAGCAGATGGGTTTAGGGATAATGGATTGCACACTTGAGAAAGCTCAATCCTTTAATAGTAGGAAGTCTGAGGAGTAACCTGATAGTATACACTTTAAAACTCACCAAAGACTTGGTAATGTGTATCCTTAGGTACCTCTGTGAGGACATCTGTAAAGCTAAAAACAGAGGGATTGGTTAAATATCTGACGTAATCCCCTTCAATTCCCTTTGCCTACTCTGTGAAGCCAGGTGGCTTCCCTCCATCACCTCAGCAGGCTACTACATGTCTGTTTTCTAGACAGGGTAAAACAAAGGGTCTTTGAATTGGGACATACCAAACACAGATGAAAACAGTAAGTTAAAGTACAAATAGAGAATGGCGAGAACCTTCCAGACATCTTCATCTGTTTGGTTCCCAGACTTCTATCACTCAGGCAGAAGATTTGAAGATTTATCTCTGGGAGATCTGACTGGTCTAAGAAGAAAGACAGACATAAAGATACTGACCTCAAGGATTCTTCAAGGACACGACATAGCCACATTATCAGCAAAGTTAAGATTTAGAAGTTTCACTTGCGCAAAGCTTCATATGAGCTTTTTTAGACAATCAGGGAGCACTAAATTTCTGAAGAAAGACTTTCACGTGAAATATAGATACCAAAACCAACCAACCAATGGAACAACTTGAAGGATACAGAGTCTGTGCAGGGAGAAGAAAACAGAAATCATTAATGCCCAGTTTTATAGAAAGATATGCTACAGCACCCATGAAACAAGAATAAGATAGTATAAAAAGAACAAAACAACAAAAGAATTTTTGGAATTAAAAAAGAAGCAGACATTCAAAACTTGATAGAGCTGGAAGCTAAAGTTAAAGAAATCTAACAAGCAAAATAAGAGAAGGAAAAAAAAAAGATAAGACAAAGAATCTGTGTAGGAAACACTTCATTCAGATGAGCCCTAGAAGGAGAAAACAGAAGGAATTTCCAAGAACCGAAGGACATTAGTTTCCAGATGAAAGTGTTCAATAAGTACTAAGCACAGTGTTAGAAATAGACCCACACAAAGGCACATCGTTATAAAACTTTGTATCATAGGAAACAAGGAGAATATAATTCAAACTTCCAGAGTCAGGGATAAAACAGATCATAGGTAAAAGATCAAGAGTCAGAATAACTTTGTTCTTCTGTAAAAAAATACTGGAATCTAGTAGATGTGGATAATGCTTTCAAATTTTTGAAGGAAAATTATATCCAAATTAGAATGATATACCCAACCAAATTATCAACCAAGTGTGAAATAGAATAAAGATCTTGGCAGACATTCAAAGTAAAAAAAAAAAAATTTACCTCTCACGTACTCTTTCTTAGAGCACTGATTCCAGAGGTTTCTACCAAAGTAAGGGAGTTGACCCTTAGAAGGAAGACTTTCTAGGAAGTAGAGAAGATACGAAGGGAGTCTCTAGGGCATTTGTAGAGGAGATCTCAGGAAGACAGCCACACCAGTCACAGAGACCAGGCTGAAAGATCAAAGTGAAGATTCTGGGAGAGAAAGCCTAAGATTGTCAGTTCCACAGGGACAGTTTCTACCCCATCCATCTCCACTGCCCTATCTAAAAACAAAAAACAAGAAAACTGAGAAAACCCAAACCAAACCAAAACAAAAACTCTAGTATTAGGAAGGCAGTTAGAGAACACATAATTTAAACCTAGTTTTACAGAAAAGGAACTGAGGACAGATGACTCCCCAGGTCACTAACTTGTCACCATGAAGCCAGCACTGTGATCCATGTTTCTTACCTACTAGTCCTATACTGTTTACAGTGTGGTGCTCTCCTACCTTAGAGATCACCCAGTCTATTGGTTCTTCATCTTTTTTCCCCTCACCACATCGATCTCGAAGGATAAAGTACACTCTCATCATGAATAGTGGTTTAGTCTAGAGGTGATTTTTCAGTAAGAAAACCTGGGACAAATCTTACCCTGGCAGGAAAAGGAGGGAGTTAACATACCATACACCAGGATAGGGAGTAGTTGGTAAAACTTCGTTGTGAGAATCAGCTTTCCCTTAACCTCACGTTGAGAATGACTGACTCAATATAGACTTTTTTTTTTTTTTTTTCCCTTTAAAAAGATACACTTGCCGGGCGCCTGGGTGGCTCAGTCATTAAGCGTCTGCCTTCGGCTCAGGTCATGATCCCAGGGTCCTGGGATCGAGTTCCACATTGGGCTCCCTGCTCGGCAGGAAGCCCACTTCTCCCTCTCCCACGCCCCCTGCTTGTGTTCCTGCTCTCGCTATCTCTCTGTCAAATAAATAAATAAAATCTTTAAAAAAAAAAACCATACACTTGCCTACGGTCACTTAAAGGCTCAGAACTTGTTTCCAAGTCTCATGGCTCCCACTCAGGAGAGTGCTTATTTCAGGATATCATGCAGATTACAAAAAGTATTATAAAAGGGATCCGTATTTATTTCATGGTCATCTAGTGGAAGCCCAGTGACCCCCTACTCAAACAATAAACTGGTTCCTAAATATAGGAGGAAAGGAGTACAGAGGTTGTGGTTCTTAGTTCCATTGATAACTTTGTGATAGTGCTTAGGATCTCGGATGGCGTGAGGGTAGAACACTGACTTGAGTGTGAGTTCTCATGCCATAGCCATTAGTGGTACTGAAGGCTCCTGAATCCTTCCTTGGTTCTTAGAGGTGGGGAGCTCTTGTATCAACTCTCTTGAATAAGTTATGGTTTGCGGGGATTTTTTTAATGACAATAAAAATAGTGAACCAGGAGAAAGCAAAGAATTTTTAGTGTACTTATGTTAATTAGTTGTTCTGCTTTTATGAAATAGAGACATGAAGGGGAAGAGAGCTAAATGTCACCAAATAAAACTCAAAACTTATTTTTGTATAAGTTATGGTCTTTTTTGCTTCTGTTTACATTTGTTTCTATTATATTGTATGTTTTTCAGTATATTTAAGGAATTAAAGGAAAATCTTTCATTTAAAACAAAAGTCTAAATGACAAATACATCAATTTTTGACACGAATTAGAATATGTGAGAGCAGGACTTGACGTGGATGGGAACAAGCATTGTTGGCGTATAGTACAACAACCTGGGACCCAGGCAGCCTTATAAAATTGTATTACAGGTGCTGTGAACAGGGAAAGATTGACTAGTCCATACGTAATGAGGATTCTATGATCTTACTGACGCACTGTGTGTGTTTGTGTGTGAACATGCTTGTTGTTTGGTAGCACTACCATGGTTTAGGAAGCTTATTAAGGTTTTATAGTGTGTTTTGAACTTGCTGAAGAAATTGCCTTTGGAATTGTGCATGATAGTAGCAAATATCTGAAGTCCTATTTATGTTATAGTATGCAGAAAGCCAGCGTAAAAGGATTTTACTCTTCACAAAGTACCCAAGAAATTCAAGAGTATGGATTTTTTTTCTCAT